CATTATCAGCGCCTTTAAATATCTAATTACTAAAAATAAAAAATAATTATTTAATTCTTTCTCTTATATAACTATTTGAATTAATAATATACTACACCTTTCTTTATCATATTAAACATTCAAGTCTAACCACTATCAATTTCTTCCGTTCCTGGTTTCGCGCGATGACGTCGCGCAGCTATCTAGTTTACAAATCAAACAGACACATGCAAATACAGTATGCAATAGAAAAGGAAATACATAAATGTATCAACCGGTTTAATATGTAACACTATCGCTATCAGTGTTTAAAATTACCTTGCATAAGATGTACATGTACAGGTAGCTTTTTTTTTGTGCAAGAGAAGGTCTAAATGTATATGACAGCGTACAATGAAATTTAAATAAGGAGCTTGCGCAAAAAATGATGTACGTACATACAAGAGAAATTATTGCACAAAAATTTAGTCTAAATGAGATAATGATAATCTGAAAAGTTCTGAAAAGAAAATGAATGAACATAAAATACAAGCAAGGTTGAACTTAAATATTCCGAAAGTTAAACAAAAACTTTAAGATAGTAATTTTATAATGTTGACATCACTCAGAGATAATAAATATGTGCATATAAAAATAAAATTTATATGCACATGTATGCAACTAGTAATTGGTTTGTGCAATTAAAACCTATAACAACTGCATTTGTGCAAGTAGGTTTCGATCTGAATGTTAAACACTGATCACTATCAGTATTGTTACGATAAAACTTATGATTACGTATCATTATTGATTTTTGCGCATATAGACAACACACGCTTTATATAACTATTTAACCTTTCCTTTTGATTTTTTTAACTTAAAATTATCTTTTATTCACAAATAGCAACTCACTTTACTTTTAACAATGACAGAATTACATTCAGAATCTGGGAATAATGAAGAAGATAAAGATAAAACTTGTGAAATTTTTGTAAACAAGACTATGGAAGAAGTTTCAAAAGCAAGTGAAGTAGCGAATTTCATAACCATCCCTATAAACAAATTCTTACCTTTATTCGGTGATATTATCACGATCGTACAAGAAATAATTTATATGTATAATACCGCTGAAGCAAATAAAAGAATTTGTGGTGTACTTCTTGATAGAGTTCAGGCTGCAGAAGCCGCAGTAAATAATTTAAAGATTCGTGAAAAAGAACGTCAAGAATTTTTCACAGAACAAAATATTGTTACTTTACGAAAATTGGTAAATGTTATAAGAAAAATTGCGGATTTCATTAAAAAAGTATGTGAACTTAAAGGATTGTGGAAATATCTTACATGTAAGAACGTTGCTGAAACGTTAAGTCACTTACTGCGGAATTCGATAGTTACATGTCTAGTTTGAGTTTCACTATTACAATCGAATTAAAATTACAAGGTGAAAGGGATAGAGCTGCTTTGTCTAAAGACATACACGAAACAAATCAAGTTTAATACGTATCCGTTAAATCTTACCTTTTTTTATTTGTTTAAAAAAGGCAACTACTAATTTTGGAAATGTACATTTATTATTACGTAGTTAGTCCAAC